GAAAGAGTTCAAGATTAGCCTGAGCAAAAGTTACATTGCATCTCTTTAAACAAATAAATAAATAAATAAAGTAGTTGGGCATTGTGGTAGGAGCCTGTAGCCCCAGCTACCTAGGAGGCTAAAGGTAGTAGGTTGTCTTGAGCCCAAGAGTTTGAGGTTGTTATGAGCATAACACTCTACCAAAGGCAACAAAGTGAAATTCTATCTCAAAAAATAAAATAGGCTCGGCGCCTATAGCTCAACCGGCTAAGGCGCCAGCCACATACACCTAAGGTGGCGGGTTCGAATCCCCAGCCCGGACCCGTCAAACAGCTGTGACGGCTGCAACCAAAAAATAGCCGGGCGTTGTGGCGGGCACCTATGGTCCCAGCTACTTGGGAGGCGGAGGCAAGAGACTCGCTTGAGCCCAGGAGTTGGAGGTTGCTGTGAGCTGTAATGCTATAGCACTCTACCCAGGGGGACAGCTTGAGGCTCTGTCTCAAAATAAATAAATAAATAAAATAAAATAAAATAAAATAAAATGAACAACATAAAATAAAGAAATACAGACTAGTAAAGTCTTTTGGGAAATCAATTTAGCATCTATTAAAATTTAAAGACACACTTTAAAAATACTTCCTGGGGGGCGGCACCTATGGTTCAGTGGGTAGGGCGTCAACCCTATATACTGAGGGTGGCAGGTTCAAACCTGGCCCTGGCCGAACTACAACAACAACAAAAAAATAGCTGGGCATTGTGGTGGGCGCCTGTAGTCCCAGCTACTCAGGAGGCTGAGACAAGAGAACTGCCTAAGCCCAGGAGTCGGAGGTTGCTATGAGCTGTGTGATGCCACGGCACTCTACCAACGGCAATAAAGTGAGACTCTATCTCTACAAAAATAAAAAAAAAAATACTTTCTGGGGAAATGTTTATATACATATGCATGTACACCCAGATACACATATAAGGAAAAACATTAAAGGCTTAGTTTTATTGCTCAAAATTAGAAATTACATAAATGTTCATGAATAGTTTATTATAAAGTACTACTATATGATGTAATATCTCATGACTGTTAAAAAGATGAGGTACCATTATAGAGGGTGTCCATAAATTTCATGTGCAATTTAAAATTGTACACTATTTTAAACTGCACATGAACTTTATGGCCACCCTGGCCACCCTACTGACATGAAAAATACATAACTATCAGATCTTTTATTTTTAAATCCGTGCAAAAACTAACACAATTTCTAGTTTAATACATAAAACTATTTACAGTGGATAGATAACACTAAAGAATAGGTCTAGATAAATAAGGAAAAAGTAATTTTAACTTTTTACACTATTTTTTTTTTTAACACAAGTTCTTACTCTGTCACTCAGGCTGAAGAGTGCAACAGCATCATCATAGCTTAATTCTCTAATTCCTGGCCTCAAGGAAATCTTTCTTATTCTAATTTTCAAAATTTTTAAGAGACAGGGGTCTCACCCTCTTGTCCAGACTCATATTCAACTCCTAGCCTCAAACTATCTTCCCAAAGCCCTAGGATTGCAGGTGCAAGCCACCACACCTGGTTCTTACTATAAATTTTGATGAACTTGTTTGAACCTTTTATAATAAGCATGTACTGCTTTTCAAATTTAAATTTCAAAATAAGGAAGAAAACCCCACTGTTTTAGCTTGTTATGATGGCTATCTTTGCTAGCCAAAACTAAGGTGATTTTTGTCTTAATATTCTTCTCTATTTTCCGAGTTTTCCATGAGGAATATGTATACTTGCAAAATCTGCAACATCTGCATTCCCAACTCTGTTTTAATCAGTAGTGAAAGTATTTTTCTTGAAAACTTGTTTTATTCTTCTGAAAAATAATTTTAACTTTAGTTATGGCCTCAGAAACTGATCTGTGACCCCAACCTCTTTCAAAAAGCAGTTTTAAATCTAAGTTTAGGAGTATCCATTCTACATTTTAGGGGAGACTTAACTAACATTTATTAAGCATTGCACTTGCTAAATACTTTACTGAATTCTCCCATTTGATCTAAAGGCAACAACATTGGTATTGTTATTATTATCCCTACCTTATAGATGAAAAGTCTCCTATCGTACCCAGGGTAACGTAGAGAAGCCAGAAATCAAACGGAGGACTCCAGGTCCTAACCATTTGAAATATACGGAATAAGCCCTAACGTACCTGAGAGAGAACAGGCTAGAACTCTGAAAACCTGAGTGAATTTGCAGACTGACTACTCTTAACCAGGTCTGTGAACCTAAGTAGTGAAGAAGTAATGAAACTCAATTATCAAAAAAAAAAAAAAACAAAGAGTGTTTCTTGAGGGCAATGAGCATTATTTTTTTTCCTTTCCCTTTTTGCTGGAACAGAGCACAAGGATACAAGAACTTCAAGGCACAATTTGCAAATAACTTAACATCTTCCCTCTTAGTAGTCAGGAAATACAATAGTTAACCCTCTAATAACTGGAAGAGCTTGTGAGAACTGATCAAGCCCTAAAGACAACTGAGTTTCAAGTTGTTAACAAAAGGAGAAAATTCAGAAAGCCAAAAGAAATGTTGTACTCAAATATCATTATAATAACCAAAACTGATAAAGATACGAATATTTAACAGTACCTCCTACAACTGAAAGTTTATCCTTAGCTATATGAACAAGTTCTAAGTTCTCTCTTTTAGAAAGTATAATTTGGGCT